GGCTCAGCTCCGCCCGGGCCCTGTGACGTCGAGGCTCCGCGTGGGTCTGGCTGCCCCCACGCCGGCCCCGCTCCCCTCCCTTGGGGCTTCCTGAGAAGGGGGACGAGGCCAGCCCACGCGTGCCGCTGCCCTGGGCCCCAGTGTTGACCTCTTGCGGCCGGGTCAGAAAGCGGGTGTCGCCACGTTCTGCTCAGCACGCCTTTTGGGGTTCGGTGGCGTGAAGCCCTTTAAGCCCCTCAGAGCCATGAGCAGCCGGGGTGTGAGGGAGCTCGTCTGGGCAGCTCTTCTGCTGTCTGACTTGATCCCGATGGCCCCCAAATAGAATACATACTTTGGGGTGCTCCTAAGGAGCCCCCACGTGCGTTCCCCGTCCCGAGGGCGCTGCTCGCCTGACAGCTGCCACAGCCCACCTGAGAGGCGCCGATCCACGTCTCCAGAGTGTCGCTCGGAGAGCGCTCTGGAGGGAGGCGGGGGGCTTCAGCAGCACGGCGGCTGAGGCTGGACGGGGCAGCAGAACTGAGGTGCACCTTGTGGTCTTCGTTGGACCAGAGGGGGCTGGACCGCGGCCCTGAAGCGCTCTCAAGCCGGCGTGCGGCGTCCGTCGGCATCAGGGTCCCTGTCAACGTCCTCAGCGGGGCTCCGTGTACATCGCAAGCCCGTAATTTACTGTGTTGCAGAATCTTGCTGCTGAAAAAACGTACAACAACCTGGACATCACGGTGACCCAGGCCCTGCAGCACCGCTCCCAGTACTTCGAGGGCGTGGTGAAGTGCAGCAAGCTGGAGGTCCTGGAGACCATCGTGGACAGGATCGTGAGGGCCGAGGTGAGGACAGGCGCCCCGCCCCTGGCGCCCCCGGCCCCGGCCCCCCGTGCGCCCCGCTCGGCGCCCAGCAGGTCAGCTGTGATGCTCCCCCCGTGGAACTGACTCGTGAGTCCTCGCGGTCGAGTCAGATGCACCGGCCGGAGGCTCCCGCGGGTTAGAAGTCCCGTGAGTCTTGATGAATTCAAAGTGAAAACGGCGTGCAGGGACTTGAGAGCGGGCGCTTCGTCTGTGAACTCACGCTGATCTCCCAAAGTAACCTGCCCCCCCCCCCCCCCCGCAGCGTTTCACCGGTTCATGCCGGAGGAAGCTCCGCGCTCAGCAGCACGGCCCGCTTGCCCGGCCGCTCGTGGGGCTTTCGGGAGTGCTGAGCTGAGCCCTGTGGCGGGGGCCCGGTGCGGCCTGCCCGGGCCCAGGGTCCTTCCTTCCTTGGCTGTCCCGCAGGCTGGGGATAGGCCCGTCTCCCTGTCGCTCACCCACGGAAGGGAGCGGCTCTGTTCCTTCTGCAGCCCGACTGGGCAGAACAAACGCACGGTCGTAGTGCGCTTTAGCGCTTTTTCTTAGAAGTGCACAGATACAGTCTAAGAGAAAAGCACATTGTAGGGTTCTGATAAACGCCCCCGAGCGTGCTTTTCCCGGAAGCTCCCCCCGGGGCAGCGTGCTGCCCTGCACAGCAGCCTTCCACCCTCGGGACCCCCGCTCCCCGGTTGGAGCTCCCCGGCTTCACCTGGCTGGGGGCTTGTTCTGCGTGGAGACTTTCATTCGGGGGGCGGGGGTGCGTCTTGTAATGTCTTCCCGGTGTCCCTGGACCGCTGTGCCTCGTGATGGTCAGAAGCACGCTCGTTTGGAACCCTCCCCGGACGAGTTCCAGGGACGCTGGGCGAGAGCATGGCGACCCCCTCCCAGCGCTCGGGCTCGGGCGACAGAGTGCCCGCTGGCGGGGAGCGGCGCCGTGCCGGGGGCCGAGCCCGGTGGCCTCGGCACCAGCACCCACTTGTCCGAGCCTAGAAGGGCCTCCCAGGGCTCCAGAGGCCGCTTCCGGGACCTGGTTCTGGTCGGGGGGCTTCCGGGCCCCCCAGCATTGAGTGAGCCTGCCCTACCCTCAGTGACAGCAGTGACGGAAACAAGGAACCGAGCCGGCCGTTCAGGTTTCCTGGGGACCAGTGGCAATGTCGAGGCGCGATGAGATAGTAGAAGTAGAGCTGGGACTGACCGTCCCGTCAAGCAACCCCCCTCCGCCCCTACCCCGCTTCTTTCCTTGTTAAAATAATTTCTTTGATCGCTCAACTGCTTGCCACGCAGGGCAGAGAGCGCCTGGAGCTTCAACCTGGCGCGTCAGGAGAGGCCCCTCGCGTGGGCCAGGCTTCCGCGAGACAGAGATAGGGCGCAAGTTTGGCTGCTCAGAAGGGGACACTCGTTAGTTGGCCTCAGCCACCGATGACAGGAAAATCCTTGATTGCCCTTTTCCGGGTGGGATTCCTTCCCTGGGTGAGCCAGTTTCCCCCGACAAAACTTTGAAACCCTCACCGGCATTATCACCCGAGACAAGCTCGGCGCAGGCCCCCTGCCTCCGTTCTAGGCTTTGCCCCTCCGCTGGGCGGGGCGGGGGTCCCCGGGGCAAGCCGGCTCCGCGGGGGGCCTGCCCTGAAGCCCCCGGGTCTGAGAAGCTGCGTGTCTCTGTCTCCTTCCCTGTCTGCCAGCGGCTCAGAGCAGCCCGGAACACCGTCCCTTCGTCTGGAAGATTCCTGAGTAGAAAGGGAGGCGTGAACGTCACCAGTGTCACTTTAGAGCAGATAGTTCACGTGTCCGCTGACTGTCGGAACCTCGTGGAAGAGGCAGGATGAAAATGAGACAGTCTGAGCGGTGCCCGGGGCCCGGCTTTGCACTTGGCCCCTCCGCCCAGTTCTGATGGCTCCTAAGAGGCGTGCCTGCCTGCGCCCCCAAGGGCACAGCACAGCCCCCCGTCCTTGCTGGTTGGGTCGCCCCTGTCACGTCCCTGTGAAATTCGCGGCCTCAGCGGGACGCAGCAGGCTCGTTCCTTAAGGGAGTCGGGCCGGTCGGTGTGACCTTTAGCACGGAGCCCAACAGCTCCACGCGGTCCGTCCGCGACGGGTGCGGAGGGCTGCCCCTCGTGGGGAGGGGCGCTCCTCGACCCCAGCGGCCTCCTGAGACCCCACTTCCGAGGTGCCCGTGCTGACGTGCCGCCCTCCTCCGTCACAGGTCCATCGGCTGGTGGTGGTGAATGAAGCAGACAGTATCGTGGGTATTATCTCGCTGTCGGACATCCTGCAAGCCCTGATCCTCACGCCTGCAGGTAGCCCCCCGGCCTCACCCAGCATCCGGAAGCATAGGACCGGCTCGAGCGGCCGCGGGGCCCCCCCACCCGCTTTCAGAGGAGGCTTACGTCCATTCCCCTGTAAACCATGTCCACATGTCTGTGGCTGTGAGGTCGCTGTCCTCCTCGGGCGAGAGAGGGCAGTGGTGGCAGTGTTGGGGACAGGAGCGAGCGGGGCGGGCGAGCGGGCCTCCTAGCGTTTCCCGTGGGCTGAGAGCTCTCCCCTCTCAGGGCTCCTAACTGGGAAGCAGAGGTGGGCGCCGGGGTCCTAGCCGGTGAGACATCCGCCCCTCAGCAAGGCCGCTGGTGCCGCGAGTCCGTAAAGCCACACCCCCGCGGTCCCCTGTGTCTCCGCCGCCGTAGCGTGCGGACATG